TACAAGTTAACATACCAAAAGCGTTTTAGTCCCCACACAGAACAGACAACGAGCAATGGACGAGTTGGATCGCGCCGTCCGGACTACCGGAGAGTAGGTAAATGTCATGCCAACCGGGTCTGAGGAAATTGTTTTCGACAGAACATACAAGATGGTAGAACAAAGTCACAGCTCATTCCAATGGTTGTGTGCGAACACGTCGTGTGATTTAGCATAACAAGTATTGTAGTGAAAGCCTTGTAAAACCCCGTTAACTCCGAGTGTAACCGAGATTTTCTTTCCACGCCAAGAAAAGTTCTCACGAAGAGAACTGACGAAGTATTTCTTCGGAAAGTCCAACTAAGTGTTTATTCTCGGTGAGGGATTTTCCATAAATTTGTGATAGGCGAATGACAACTTCTGGGTCTATAGTGGGAGTCGATAAGCCATGGGAAGCTGGCTCAGCTGAAGGAGCGGATAAACGAGAGTGCTTACTAACTGCAGAAAGCTAGTCATCACAATCACCGAGTCAGTTGGGTGACAAGGCGTATTAGTGAAACTGAAAGTGTGGACCGTGCGTCGAAGTCGTCAGATGCAAACGACAACCGACAAAAGAATACAACTACAATTTTCAAGTAGGGTTCGGATGCTTTGCAAATAAGGCTTCGACTGTCTGAAGGTTTTGGTTGTGAATCTCGCCAGAGAGCAAATCATGAATTGATTTTCTCGCCTTTAAGAGGCTGGCATCACGAGTCCGATGGTATAGAGGTTAGGCCTAGACAAATATGAAATACATATAAAGACCGAGCACCAATTGGTTGGTTAGATGCACTCTATCATTATAACTCTCTCGTTAAATCGAGACAGGAAGTACTCAAATCCACAAACCATTTTATTCCACTCACAGAAGAAAATAGGAATTTGATTTACATTGATTGCGTTTTCATTAAACTNTCTTAAGCTTTTGCGATCCTCAGTGAGTATTTTGTGGTGTGATAAAATTCAGATATAATGGAGACAATCGAAATAGGCCTTCGTTTAGACTTAACATATCATTGTCATTGAATATCCGTTGTTGACAGTTCACATTCCCATTAGGTCACTGGCGATAATAAGTGAGAATCACTAGTTTCTTATTCACTGCCGGTGGATATGCATAAGTTA